TAATATGAATATAAATAATTTCTATAGCTGTGGCAAATGGGGGAAATGACATGTTGAGGAATTAACATAAAAAGACGAGATATAATAGTTTTGTTTTGGTCTTTTGCAAATAAAATGAAAAATTTTATTGATTTTAACATGATGGGCAGCACTTTTATAACGGCAGCCAATAGATCAAAGAGCCGCAATAGCAGAAGGGCCATCATAATTGTGACGTCAGAGTGCAAATAGTTGTCGTAGTTGTTGTTGTGGTCGCTGTGGTTGTGTAGTTGTTGTAGTTGGTGTTGTTGTTGCTTTTGTTGGTTGCACCCACGCGATTTTAGTCATATATATTCACCTGCGGCTGCTGCGCTGTGGTTGTTGTTATGCTTGTTGCTGTTGTTGTTGCTTTCAACTGGCGCCTCCCCATTGGCCAATGTCTTGAACAGCATCAACTGCTGATCGGCTCGCAAACTGATCTTGAGATACAAACTAGCTAAATGAAGATCGCGTCGCTGTATGGCAATACATTTGCACTGCTCCAGCAGTGATGCCTGATAGAGCTCGACCAGGGGCAGACGTCCCATGCCCAGCATCTCGTTGAGACAGGTGCCCGGTTCGCGCCACCAAATTGTAAAATGAATGCTGCCCATTTCCTTATCATTGTCCCCTGACGGCAACTGCACCTGACGCTGCTGTGTCTGACCGAAGCGTGTGCATTGGGTCAGACTTTGGAATTTCTCTGATTCGAATTGCATAATATGAAACATGGGACCGCGCGGCACTGAGCTAATCAGTTCATCGGACAGCTGGCACTCGACGGTGAAAATCGGTCGCACTTCGCTCTGGAGCAGCTCCATGCGCTTGGTGCCCTCCGGCTGGAGCGTCAATGCCTCCAGATGCAGCTGCACAGCGTTGACTTGCTTGAACAGTTCCGGTGTGGCCTGCTCTTGTGGTCCAGTGCCAGCTGGAAGCTCCTGTTCCGGCAGTTCCTGCTCCGGCCACAGTTGCTCCACTTTGTTAAGATGTTGCTGCTTCTTTAGCTGCTCCATTGTTGGCTCAGCGGCGGTAGCGAACAGCGCTACCAGATCGGCATCCAATTTCTTCATGGCCTCCATTAGCTCGACTTTAGCTGGCGCAGCAACTGCTGATGCGACTGACTTGACTGTACCTGAAATGTTCAATATATTCGATTATTAGCTACAAATGGGTCGCTAGCGTGGAAGAAGATTCCAGAAGCATTACAATTTCTTTAATTTAGGAGGGGAGCGAACCCGTGTCCGATCGCCGCAACGTGGATTTATAAAATGACAGCACAAACTGAGTACCTGCTGATATGATGCCGCCGTCGCCGCCGCCGGCAACAGTCGGCGTTAATCGCAGTTTATGCTTTGCTTGTACATTTCCGCACACACGCTTGTGCTCTCTTTAAAAGCGCTCTCCCGCTCTCACGCGTAAGTGCAAGGGAAAGCTCACCGATGTTGTTATACTCTCAACTGAAACTTGAGTTGGACTTATCATTTATTTACTTACATAACTACTCTTCTATGCAATTATTCATTTAGTTATTTGAAATATATCAACAAATTTCCATTAGCCGAAATTTAATTTTGTATTTTCTAGTATTTTATGCAAATGAATTTTTATGTTCGTTCAAAAACCAACTAGATCCCCTTAGGCAACATTTTCAATAGTTTTCTGAATATCATTTTAAAAATTAAGTATAGAAATTCAAACATAGATTCCAACTGCTCAAACCTCTCACTGCAACCTATATACACTTTTCTAAAAGAAGAGTACAGACATATATCAAGTTTGGCAACCCTCATTGAATCCAATGCTGAAGAATTTCGCATATTTGGCTTGACATTGAAAAAGTTCAAAGACAAATGGAAAATTTTACGTACATTATGTATGTATATAATAAGTTGTAAGTTTTCGACCGCCGCATTTCTAATGAGAATTGAAAACGTAATAATAAAAAACATGAATAATATTGGCGACATTTTTCCCAATTTTTTATTATTATTTTTGGCATAGCAACGCATCGAGATAAGAGTTTCTAGGTTCAATGACATAACACTGTGCAGATTCTAGACGTAATCAGTTAATAGCCAGTCGTTTCGTAGCCCCTCAACTGCGCCTGATTAAAACCCATACAAATTCGCATAGAATTTGGCGTCAAAGGGCAATTGAGAAATGAAAGCTAAAATGCTAGCCACGGGAGAAGGAAAATGGTTTATCAAGGCCTAGGCCTATTGATTACAGCTTGTGCATGACAATGTATGTGCGTATACACACATATATGTATATGTATGACCATGGGATTAACAATGCGACATAGTGTTTTTTATCAGTGTAGGCAAACAACTGTTTTTTTATCAGACAGGGATATAGCACTTTTGAAAACATATCCTCATTGTATTTGCATTTGGAAATCCAACACCCAGCTTGAAATCGAAACCAAATTACATTAATATGCGTGTATGCAATATCAAAACATTCTTAATCCATTCGCTTATGGTGCTGGGCTTTTCCGTCATTGGCCTTCAAAGCCTGACACAGAGTATTTGTATTCTCTTTTATCAAAGAGAGAAACACAGCCGGCAAGCTAGCGAAGACTGACACAACAGAAACAAGCGTGGAATAGAGCATAAAAGCATACAGTGAGATAAAGTTTCGTTGTGTGCGTGTCACAGCTTTTGCTTTTGCACAGGAGCGAATTTGGCACTCATTGATTTGGGTTCGCTTTTGCTATATCTTGAAAATACTCATGTTTATTTTACAATTTTGAAGTTTTATAAATAATAGAGAAAGGAAAGTTTATTTGTTCCAGTACATCCTGGCAGATGGCATTCACCTATGCAGCGGCCTTTCCAACGGCCTAACCCTTTAGCACTAACTGCGCTACTGTTTATCGGTTAAGCAATATTTATACATACGTCGCCTCTCAGTCTCTTTTCGTTAAGTAAATGGTTGTGTATGTGTATTTGTGAGAGAGCCTGCACGTGTTTTCTATATCACGCTATTTCTGGGATTTGTTTTTCCGTTTTCACTTCTTTATTCGTATTCTTGGGATTTCTTTGGTTGACGCTCCGCAATGGAAAGTTTTGCGGCCGTTTAGTTGGCGAGAAATTGTCTGAAAACTAACAGACGCTGCAAACCAAATGTTAAGCTATTTCAAGCACTGCAATTGTTGTTAATAAATTCAATTTGGCATTTAATTTAATTGCCAAGGCGAAGGCTAAACAAACAAACCATCGCGTCGCCTCTTACGTAAGTATCAACAAACTGTTAAAAGCTAAATTTTTATAGCCACATGATATATATGATATGATATATGTATTTATATTTGAACCTATGCAAAAATATATATAAATAAATAACATGAAAATGCCGCACTAAACCAAAATAAACAGAATGTGTGCGTCGACAGAGACGAAGCGACGACAACGAACTCAGCAGCGTCATTACGGTAATAATCATTTAGTATATATGTATGTAGGTGAGAGAAAGAGAGAGCGAGAGGGAGCACGCACCCACTAGGGAACAAAAAGCTTTGATTGTAAGCGTACTCACCTGAAATGCGCTCACCCGGCTGCGTTTGAGAACAGTTGTTGATGGTCAACTGATGATCCTGTCGCAGCGCAGCTGGCAGCGACGTCGGCGGTGGCAGCGGCAGTGGCGGCGGCACTGTTGCAGTTCCCACGCGAACGGCTTTATTGGCGCTGGCTGCGGCAGCGGCAAATATCATTTTAAAGCGCAATTGAATCTCACCGACTTTCAGCTGCTGTTGCTGTTGCACTTTACCCGACGTGCCACTACTCTCGACGTGACGATATAAAGCATAAATTTTGGTTTTATATACGAAATTGCAACCGTTGACGTTGTTTGCTGCGTATTTGCGCAGCAGCGGCGCCGGCAGCGGCAAACGTGCTGCTCCTGATGCTGCTGCTGTGGGCGGCGGCGACTGTTGATCGTGGGCGTGGTCCTTGACGTCGCTATTGGCGACAAGCTTAATAAGTGGACACTCGCGCAAACAGTCTAAGAATAGCGCGAGGCTTTGGCTGCGCACACAATAACGTAATTTATTATGATACTGATGACGCCGATGATAATTATGCTGCTGCTTCTTCTTCTTTAGTTGCTGACTTTGGCTGTGCCTTTTAATTTTATGCTTGTCCGCGCAGAGCTTTTTGATGCTGCTGCACGCGTCACAGCTGATGCTGACGCTTGCTGCTGTTCCCTTCTGCTCACCCCACCAGATGATTTCTGCTGTTACAGCACCAACACCCAACACCCCCGCACCGTGTTGGTACAATGACGAGGCTTTCGGTTTCCCAGGGCTTTCGTATAGGGACACTGACGTTTGCGCTTTGATCGATTTATCTGTTATGAAATTGATGCGGCTCGCTTCGATTTCACAGTATGACAATCTATGGTTCTTAGAAACGGTTACTTCTTTTGCATTGCAATATTTATTCACATTCGGTGGAAGTGTATATTCAGCTTTCATAATTGTCTACTTGCCATTTTTGTGTTAGCGCGCCGCATCACACACGAACAATAACCATCACACACACACACTTACACTAATATGCACACAACTACCGATTTGGAACTGAGCGCGTGCACTTTTTCACTTTGCCTAAAAGAAGTTGGCTCTTAAATCGAATTTTCAGCCGCTTGAGATGTGCGGATTTTCCGCGTCGCACAGCCTGCACAGCTTGCTTGTAAGGTTGAAGGAAAACTGCAAAAGCTTTTGCCGCTAGGAAATAAGAATTACCTCAAAAATGTTTGCAAGTGTTGCCTGCATCTGTCGAAATGTGGCTTTGTTTTGATTTTCTTTAGGGTTGCGCTGGATGTACGCGATCTGGCAGCACCATTCAAGTATTGCATAATGTTGCCGCAAAGCGGACAGTGTTGGTAGGCGTGCGAGCTTAAAGTTTTAAAAATAATATAAAATCGCGCAGACACGCAAAAATATTTAAAAGATTATATTTTGTAGATGTTTTAAACAAATTAGTTTTATTTCTTCGTTTAATTTGTAGACAATTTATTTAAATTGATAAACACACTAAGATTTTCCAATTCACAACGTTTGGGCTAACAAGCGCAGCTCTTCGCCCGCTTCAATAGTTTTTGGCGGCGACGCCTCCTCAAACTCGCCCAACTCTGCATCATAGTACAAGGCAGCGCGATATGGACGCAGCTCCCAAGGCACCTGATCCTCCATATTTGTCAGCTGCACACCCAAATCTTCCAGCGTCGGCACTCCGGGCAGCACCTTATCGGTGATGGCTTCCCGCTCAACGCGATCTAGATGCAGTCCACCAATGGGTGCACCGGGGCAAATCAAGTTGGTGAGTTTAACCTTCAATTTGAAAGTGGGGTCCCAGCGCATATCGTAACGCTGATAGCCCCAACGCTTCTGGTCCTTGCGCATTAGGCGATGGAACCAGTCGACCAGCTCGCTCAGCTGATAGCGCTTGGGACTGCAAATATAGATAATATGAATTAAAGAGTAAGCGTAGAATTATGTTAAGTGCGGACTGAGCTTACCCCACAGCCTGGTAGATGCGGCCAGAGGTGTCCGGATCCTTTGCGGCATTGACGATGGCCTGTGCCACATCAGAAACGAATACGGGCTGCTTAACGGTACGCTCACCGCTATGCCACAGTGGCATCGAGCGGAATTGACGACGCCAGATGTGTGCATAGTAACGCAAGAAGCGATCCTCAGATCCATAGATATCGGCTGGACGTATTATCGTGGCATTGGGGAAAGCATCACGCACCATCAACTCGCCCTCATACTTGCTCTTGAGCCACTGGCTGCCGCCCGAGATGTAATGCGCCTTGGGATTAGCCTCGGCGTTTAACGCGGATAGATGTATAAAACGCTCCACGCCGGCATCACGGCAAATGCTACAAACACAAAACAAACAAAAATTAATTGAGTCCGGATATTATTGAGCTGCTCACCTGGCCAGACGCGCTGCGCCATTTACATTGACATCCTTGAACTTAAAGTTCTTAGTCTCATAGTCACGTCCCACCAAATTGATGACCACATTTGAGTGCTTGACGGCCTCCCGTATGGAGCGTGGATCTTCAAGATGATAGAAATGGAACAGCACCTGACCCAAATCACCGCAAACCTTCAGCCGGTTCGCATCGGAATCATCACCGCGATAGGGCAGAATCATTTGCGTGCCCGACTTGCCCAGCTTATTGCACACGTAGCGTCCCACAAAGCCGGTGGCACCGAACACGGTGGCGACGATGCCATTGAAGCTGCTGCGTCCGCCTGTGCCGCGCTTCATGGCAGCCAGATTTGTGGTCTTCAACGGACGTGGCGCATCAGCATCTGGTGGAGCGGCGGCGGCACTATAGCTGCGCAGGCACACCACACCCACGACACCGCTGCCGTGATGCTCTGCAAAATATAAATTAATATTAGGATCGGGAAAACTGCAACAGACATTACATAATTTTTGCGAGGCATTCAAATAATGGTTCGCTACGCTACTTACTCGCCAGCTGCATGTTCCTAGTTAGTACTATGGCAGCCATTCTGCAGTGGCGCGCTATATACCAACTAGCAAGAATTAATTTGCAATTATTAAACTTTTTCCACGCAGATTTCCAGTCTGCTGGTCGGAAGAATGAAAACACAGCCTTAGATGTCAGCAGCAGGCCAGTGTGACCAAAATTCTGACATCGAAATACCAAACTTCAAGTTGTAGACGGTAGACTAATCGATGACAGTAGTAGACAGTGCTGCCAGATTAGTTGTATAAGTTTAAAGAATTCAAATTTTGCGGTTACTACCGATCATGCATTTATTTATTTATTTAAAACGTTTAGCAGCCATGTTGTGCGACATTCGTTTGTTTGTATACAAGTTTTTATAATATTAGTTACCGAAATCGCTAAACTTTTGCTACTATGAGCACACGTCTGTTTTATCTAATGTGCGTGTTTATTACATGTTCCATGCCGAATCGCCTTCGGTATGCCTCTGAAAGAATTCTTAAAACATTTGTTGAAAACACCAGTCAGTTGCTTTTCTACTGTCGTCGCGACTCTCATATCGTGTGCTAAAGGAAAAACGTACAAGCCGAATAAAATTAAATATATACCGTGTTATTTACCTATGCACTCTTAGGTACATATAGTTGCTGAGTTCCGAAAACAAACAATGCGCTTATCGGCAGTGAATAGTCGATAAGAAGAACAATAAAGCAACGAGCTAAATATTTGAACTAAAATCTGACTACTTTAGCGGCCTAATAAATTCGCTCCTGGCAACAAGCGGTGCTGTGGATGAACTAAAATGTATGATAATAGTTTACACCACAGAGATTACAAGATTAGCATATGTTTACAGTTTATGCGGCCGTTTATATGAAAACTTCGTTTAACTGTGTTTAGGCATAAGCATGCTAACATTATGCTACACGTATAAACCCAAATCGCCGCAAAGACAACATACATAAATTTGCTAGGCAGAGACAACGACCAGCCACAACCTGAACGCGCGTGTCCGCTCATGCGCTGCCTCTCTGCCCCGCATTCTCTCTCTGTCCCTCTTTATGTTCGTGCAGTCCTCTTTTTGGCATTGTTCCACCCACTGATTAAGCCCGTCTACCTAACGCACGCACTCAACACCCTATACCCCCATATGTGCGCTTACTCTTTCTGTCGCTCTCTCATTCTCTCTCTCTCTCTTTCTTGCTTGTATGTGCTATGCTCTCACTTTCAATTCGCTTGCCTGCGTGATTTGTATTTATTTCGGTACATTTACTGCTTTCCATGCCATTATCATCATTGTTGTTGCGCCTGATCTGCGTTCGGGTTTGATGCCAGCGTTTCATTAGAGTTTGAGCCGCACAGCCGTCAACGTCGTCTGAGCGCATTCGGCAAATATTGCAATTAGCGGCCAACAGGTGTCGCCGCGTGTGTGTGAAAATTAACGCCCAAAAACAAATTTGAATTCCAAAATTACAAAAGAAAATAAACTAAAATAAAATAGATTGTGTTAACGGTGCAAAAAATTATAAATCTAACGCAAATTGTGAAGTGCTAAAAATAGATATTAAATATATATTTGTACGTATCAAATTTGTGATTTTTATACAAACATAATTTAGTATGTTCCACACGCGCGCTTCTATTTTTACGTACACCAATGTAGCTCAGGCATTTCAACTATATGTACAATTTGTTTATAATTTTGCCTGAAACGAACTTTTTACCTAAGGTCTATTAGCCGTTGATAAGAGCCCAAAGAGTCTGGGGGCTTGTGCCTTGCAGCCGGCTAACAAAAATATCCCATTTCCCAAAATAAAACTGAAGATTTATCTGCGTATCTGTGTTATCGACAAAGTCAAGTGATTCGTTAGCAAATATGAATGGAATCATTTAGCGAGTGATTATTTCGGGGCGCGCTTGGTACCAAAAATACGAAAATACCGAAATTTGCACAGTAAAAATATAAATTCTGCGTCATTTAAAGAGTTCCCGAAATTAACGTTAATTCGCGCCCATATTTGTCTAGACTATATTTTTGTATATGTATGAGTGTGTTAGAGTGTGTGTCTGTGTGTGTGTGAGGGCCTCAGCTGGGCTGCTGCGATTCAATGCAAATCATGAAACGGGCCTTGAAAAAATGGCCTCAAGTCAACATTTAACTGTTATTTGTTTATTGTTTATATTTAAATTGTCTAGAAGTACTTTAGGTTAATTGATAAACCTTATGCAATTTGTGTAGACCAATTTAGTTGCACTCGCGAAGTCTCATTAACTGTAATTTAATATCTATTTAGATAGGCAACTAATCAAATTACCTTATTATAACGGATTCCATTGAATTGTTCAATTTATCCATTATGACAATTGAATATTTTATTTCCCTTTTTTTCACTGGAGAAAGTGTTTACAGGAGTATATATATTCATTGATAAAGGCGCAGATCTCACGTCGCAAGAGTTAAATTAAAGAAATGTATTACAATGTTATCAGTTATGGAGAAATGCACGAAATGTGTTTTACGGCTTGACAGGTGCAACAAATACAGATAAAGAGAGGTATATATTATATATATAAAACTTGGAAACCAAAGCTTGCTATGCAAGCTGAAGTCGAATATGTATATCAATTTTAGAAACTACTTGGGTATGCTGAATATGATATACCCTATAAAGTTGACTACTTAGAACTTGTAGCTCACTTTAGGGCCTGGCTTAAGTTTTGATGATAAACTAGGCATTTATCCAGGTATTTGTAACAGTTTAAGGCTATTCGATATCAAGTAAATCTATATTTAAATTAAATACGATACATAACATTCTGTTTAAAACAAGTACCTCATTTTAGGGCCTATAAACTATGCTGTTTCCAGGCCTATCCCACAGCAATAGGCTATTCAAGCTATCAAGCTAATCTATATATAAATACAATACGATATATGCATGTATATAGAGAGAGAGAGAAATACAATGGAGTTACACGAAAAGAAATAGCTCTAGTCACTAATTCAGAGCCTAATTTGTTGTTGTTTTCTTGTTTTTTTTTACACCTATTTTAAGCTCTTCTCTTAGACTTTCCATATAGATATATGCTAGTAATTCGTTAGTCTGGTTGTGGGTAAGTCCACTTCCATAAATCTGTCTTCCAGAATTGCCACTTCAGCTGTCAATTAGATCAATAAAACGAGTCACTTCATCATTTCGTCAATTCGAGGCATTTTTAATGCACGGCTCAACGACATTTGTTTATTATATTTGTGCTCCTCTTCGATTTGGTTTTTTGTTGTTATTTTGTGTGTGTGTGTGTGTGTACTTGTTTTATTTTATCATTTGGTTTGTTTTCGTTAACTTTGTGTCGAAGCCAATGACTGCATACAAATTGGATTTTTGTATTGGCAAAAAACCGAATTCATAAAAACAAAAATAAAAATAAAAAATAAAAAAAATGTGAATTTTATTTGACAATTTTCAAAATCCTTCTACGTCGGTCCGTGGCCTGTTTGTTATATATATTATAACTACGTATACAGCACTTTAATCGAACAACCGAGGGGTAACCCCTTCGTCCGGGAATGTTATTTGTATTTTGTATTGTATTTTGACCAGTTTGGACACGTCGACAAGGTCGAGTCGTTCACGCATCTGGAATTTTAGATTGATAACATTAGTTTCATGGCACTTTTTTGTTTTTTTTTTTTATATTTTTCTTTAATTCTATTAACATTTGTTTACACTCGTGTTATATGCAATATTTTGCTTGCAATTAAGTTTTTTAACTTGCCCTCTAGTATATCCCAGTGGGGTTGTATGTGCCTAAGCATTGGCTAATATATCTTTGTATATAACTAATAATCTTTCTGTTTCTAGTCTCAGCTTTGGATTAAGTGGCTTCTTAACCGAAGGTCTTACTAGGCAGCTCTATTTAAAGAACTAAGATTTATCGTGTTACTATATATATAAAGATAATGTTATAAACGACTTTGTAAACCTCCAAAAAGTAGTTCTATCTCTAGCTGCGGTTCGTGGTTTTGGTTTACTTAATCTATAAGCCCAAGTTATGGTTCAAAATTTATTTTCAGAAATGCTAATAAAACGAAACAATTTCGTCTGGGAAGTTCGGGCTCGAACAGTTTGGGTTCCTAAATATAACAGAGATGCTCATCACACCCAAGAAATCCGTATAGATTTCACATAAACAGAGTCCAATTACAAGATATCGAAATAGTTCTATGTCAATCTACTTAAATTCCAATCACTCCATTATACATAGAACCTTAACAGGTGTCGTCCGTCTGCTACTAGTTTTACGTCCATGTTTCACTTTTGTTATCGCAAACGAGCCCAATTGGAGCACTTTACCGATACAGTAGAGCAGCAGACCCCGGCCTTACCCACAACCACCCACTCGGCTCGGATTGTGCTTTATTCAATGAGAATGAAATCTAATTGAGGAAATGAACGTTTAACAGCCACGGATCACGAGCACGGGCATGGGCAGTACACAAGTCAGCCAGTGTTTGGGTACCACAACTTTTTGATCTAACTATAGTTGTTTTTTTTAGCTATTTTTTTTTTTGGCTGTGTGAAATGTGGGTCTATGGCAGCCCGAGGCATTAGTTAACGCTTTGTAATCGATTTGTGGAATGGAAAAAACAATAGATTGGCAATGCCCAGATTGTACATTTTGATCTAAACAATTTGTTGTACACCCACACGAAGCGTTTAAAATGCAATCAGCTGCTTGGCCGTGACAGTTGAATAAGGTTGGGTTGTTATATATAGGGATTACGAGGCAACCAGCTGTGCAGTTGCTCAGAATAACAAATAGATGCAAGACAGATAGTTCCTAATGGGGTAGGACTGAAGGTGTGTGGGCCTTAGCTAAGATATGGATCTATTGCAAGATTAACTCGTCTTGATATTTGGCTTAGAATGTGCTGTGAATTGTAAGATTTCAGCAGTATTCCGCAGATCTTTCTCCTTCGTATTAATCTAGTATGTCCGACTTTTGTTTCTAATCTAATTTATTAGCATAAGACAAAATTCTAAAGAAAATTCTAAGGAAAATTAAATATTTTGATGATACAATTATGTTTTTATTATCTTTAAAGAAAACTTGATATAAAGCTTCTACCTAGGCTTATTGTGTCAAAAGGACTAAAGGCTTAAAGATAGCTCGAAGAAACGAATATATCTCAACGGACTTAAACAGGGCCAGACATGTGTAATTAAGCCTTCGATAAATTTGATATGATAACGAATTCGGCTCATTATTTGTACTTTAAATCGCGCTAAACTATTTGGAATGCCTCATAAATATGTAGGCCCTAAAATGTCTAAACGATCACTTCATGGTTTATCCGATCAATTAAAATCGTATGTGACTGCTGTAATTACGGCCATCTGTAGAAGGGCTAACCTTGGTTTACACTTAAACGGGTCCAATTGTCACGTAATGTTACGTCAATGTCAAGCCTGACAATGGGTCGGTTATTGGGTGATTGGGTTCGTTTTTCATCTTCATTTGCATGCTAGGCAGGCGAAAAGGCCAGCCCAGCCATTGAGCGAACAGCTGGGGCGTTACCTGTACCCACCTGCCCAAATCTGGACCCTAGGCTTATGATTAACATATGCACATGCACGCCATACGGGCCACCACACACACACACACACTCACCCTTACCTATTGAAATATATATATAATAAAACTCAGTTCAATAGACGTTTAAACTTGACACCGTTTTGGCCTTATCGAGTTGGCCAATTAATCTAAGCAATTGAGTATTGGGTATAATGGCTGGAATTTTATTGATGTGGAAAAAAACAGACAGAATCTTGAAGGAGCAGAAAGCTCTTCTACACACTTTTGCATCTAAATGATAAAGTCATTAACCCCCTTAATAATTTTGCTCTGCTCTCAGAATTTCTTAAGTGCAGCCTAAAACGGCCTTTCTATGCGATTTTCATTGCATTTTGAATTTTAATCATATTTTCCACTGCTCTCTAACTTTCTTATTCGCGGTCTCTCTTGCACTCTCTTTATCGCTCAATCTTAAACCGCCTTTCTATGCGATTTTCATACCGAACTTTTAGTGAATATTAAAAGGTTTCCTTGACACTTGTTTAAATTATTATCCAAATTATAATAATATCTTATGCAGTCGCTACATTGCTAATTACCAACACTTTTGTATCTGTTGTGGAGTAACTGCAAATTGCAATAGTCAATAAATTGATCTAGTTCCATGTGGCTCAAAGTTCGTTGACAGTTTTTGATTTACGCGATTTACAACCTCGTCACTTTTTTCCGTACTGCTCCCCTGTTGATACAACTAACTAACATTATCTCTCTCCAATCTCCGATCTCCGTTGCAGCTCTCAGACCCAGATTTAGAAACCAGCAAGCATGCCTATCAAAGAGGTCTTACAGCGCTGTCAGCCCATACCGCTCTACGTGGTACTGATCCTATCCGTGTGCTACTTTGTGCTCCAACTGGTCCTCAGCCATTTGACGCATGCATTGACACTCCTCATGGCTTCCTATCATATGTTGTGCAATATCTTGGCACTGGCCGGTTGCATTGTAACTATTAAGGTAAGTGGATCAACATTTCTTTTTCTTTTTTTTTTTTTTTGCCTTCCTCTTTGGGGAAGCGAACAAGTTTTGCAGCCGCACTGATAAGCAAATCGGAATTTGAACACATAAAAAATATAATAATTTAAAAAAAAAAAAAAAAACAGAGAAACCTGAGCAGTGCATTGAACTGCGCATTTTAATGAAAACAGGTTTCATATTTGACTTGGTTTCAAATATTGTTATTATTATTGATTTATGTTTTTTGATAAATATCTCGAATTGGTGTGCCTGCAGCGACAGGATATCATGCTACATATTGTTGCAATCCGCCAAGTTATGATTAGATTAGATTATAAATATTATCTGTCTGTGCTTTGGTCAGGTTTGTCTGGCCTGCGTGGGCGTTTACCACTATCAGTAAATTGTACATTAATTATGCCCCCTAGTACAAAGACAGATAGTTGCTGTTGTTAACAGCTTGTTTAGTAAACTGTGCTAAAATAGCTGGCAAAGTAATTAAGATGTGTTTGACAGGGATTATGATAAGCTATTATCTGATAGACATAAAATGCTACAACTGGTAAATAAATTGGATTTAACCCATTCTCGACACTTAGCTCTATATAGAGATAACTCTCAATACGGAAACCTTTTATAATATGTACTTTCATGACAACTCCCTCCAAAATCCATTCTCTCTAGTTTACCTCTATCCATAACTCACAATACTGAAACTTTTTCAATTTCTAGCTGTCCCAGATCTGATTATATATATGTATATTTATGACAGTTCCAATTTGCCATGCATCTGATTTGCCCTCGAGGCTCGTGTATTTAACCAAATATCAAATACCTATGCAAATTTATGAATTAAATCAAACAGAAATATTTTGAATGAGTGCTAAACTTTGCAAATTCATGTGGTCTTCGTCTGTATTTTGACTATATTTGGGCTACGGGCAAGTGTGCCAAGCACGTTTCGCAACTAGAGAAAAAACCGAAATACCGCTAAAACAAAGGTACAAATTTTGAGCCTACACAAAACTTGTGGCCAAAAACCACGCAGCGAACCAGATATCGTAAGCCTTATAAGCCAAAAAATAAAAAAAAAAAAACTATTATAAAATAAACCGCCAAAAACAGTTGGCTCGCAAAGTGCGAGAAATGAGTGAAACGAGTAGCTTCAAGCTGTGGACTTATATAATTGCTAGACAGACAGGCAGACAGACAGACAGACAGACCTTTGGCTGAGTTAGGCGAAGCGTGAAAATAGTTGACAACAATTTGGTGGCATGGTAATTAAACAAGTGTCGTGCCTAATGAACTGATAGACAGTGCTTTAGGTCTTGTTTTTGGAAGATAATTTATCGAGCAAGTCATGGTGACAGCTTTCAATTTTATGGAGTAATTCCTTCTAAACCTGGAAGATCTCAGCACCATATACCAATATGATAATTCAGATAATTCTTAACTTTTCTATATAAATGGAGCTTTATTTAAAGTCCTCAGAACTCAGTAAGAATTTCACTTGAATAGCTTAAAGCTTCAACAAAGAGAACCTTGCGCATTAAAGCTTTTTATTTAGCTTAAACTCGTTTCGTAGTAAAGTTCCAAATTATCTCTAAACCATTTCTAGATAAATCATAGATAAGTATTCTTTATAGATATGGTTTTAATCCCAACTGGCATATTCGGAAAGCTAAAAGCTTTCAGAGTTGACCCTTTCTACAGCTTTAAGTTCTTTTCCCCAAAAAAATAAGTAAACCCTGTCTTATGCTCTTTTATTCTCCGTCAACAGCACAGCAAACGGAATGAGACGGAAACACCAACACCTAAAGCCCCGCCTATCATGGGTAATGGCACTACGGATGAAAAGATAGCCGTGGTGCTCACGCTGAGCGAGACTGAGGAGCAGCAGTTGGCCAAGCGTGAGTCGCGGGAGCAAAAGCTGCGCAATACCTTTGGCTGGGCACGCATCGATATACTCACCATGCTCATTGTGTTCATCATATTGGCCTCGCTGTCCTTCTCGCTTATTGTGGAGGCGCTGCAGACGCTGGTGCACATTGATCATCAGGATACGATGCACTTGCCCATTCAGGTTATGATGCTGGGCTGTGTGGGTCTTGTATTGAATGGCCTCACCTACTTGCTGATAGGTGGCTACACATTGCATCAGGGCAGCTTTCTGCACTTGACGCCAGGTGGCGACGTTGTGCTGGAGCGTTCCATCTCCAGTCATTCCGATTTGGCATTGAAGCCCATGCAGCGCACACTGAGCAAGTCGCGCAATGATCGTCAGCTGCGCCAGGATCTGGAGGCGGAGGTGGGCAACATTTACTTCACGACCAAGCGACAGGGCGCTGTGGAGATGCTGCGCGATGTGTCCAGCACGCTGTTTGTCATCGTCTGTGCGGCCATTGTCTATGTGGCCGAAGATGAGGAGCATACGGCCAAGTTTATTGATCCAGTTTTGTCCATATTCTCTTGTGTGCTATTGGTCTCACTGAGTTATCCATACAGTAAGTATAACATTTTTAGCTCTGGTGTAGAAATTGGGAAACTGTCATCCTTTAGTTTACATATAACAGTATAACAATTTTAGCACATATTGCTGTATAACATAATAGCATTTAACAGTTATCAATTTTTATAACAGCATCAAGGCTTAACAGTCGACGTATAACAGCAAAATGTTAACTTATCTTTTCTTTTTTATTGCAGTGAAAGAATCTTGCCTTATTCTGCTGCAAACGATACCCGGCTCCATTGACCTGGAGATCTTTGAGAAGACGCTGGTTAACAAATTTCCGGAGATTGTAAGCTATCACGATCTGCACATTTGGCAGCTGGCCGCGCACAGCTATGTGGCCACCATACACATCCAGTTCCAGAACCCCAAGCTCTATCTGAAGATTATCGAGCAAGTGCGTGCCTATTTTCATGAGCAGGGCATTACGGCGGTGACCATACAGCCCGAATTCTATCCAGCAACCAATAAGAATGCCTCCGCATCGTTGGAATGCCTGATGCAGTGTCAGGCAGCCGAGTGCATTGAGAAAGTTTGCTGCCGCGATTCACGCAGCGACTTGCGGGAGGTTAGCGGCAGTCCGGATGGTAGCAAAACAATCTCTAGCCCGTCCACGACCAAGTCCTGCGCAGAGCTGAGCACCGTTACTGTGGAAAAACCCAAGGAGTTGAGCGTATCGCAGCTTTTAAAGGGTCAACAAGAGGAACAGAAGGTGCAGGAGGAGGATTCGACGCAGTCGCCGTTGCCCTCGTCTCCATCGAGCATATCCCTGCCGGCTGAGGCGACAACCACGGACAACAAATGCTGTTGATCGTCCATTAGCTTTTAGTCATTGTATTAGTCCAGCGATTTTACGATTTTAGTTAGAGTTTAAGCTTATTTTAACGACTGCTACTGCAGCTATGCTATACGCTCAGGCTGATAACTAAAGATTTGCATTTGTTATCGAAGTCTTTAGAACCAAAGATCTGCATGTGCGGGTGTTAAGTTGGCCTCTATCATTCGATATATAGCATAATTTCAGTATTTGCCATATAATTTGACTAACTAACATTTTAACGTAAGACGCTTAACTAGTTTTAGCAAGTTAATAGTTAGCTTATAAGTCTTATTTGTATAATAAGATATAGTTAAGCAAATAAATGTTGCGTTTAGGTCGATTTATTATATACACATTTAAATTTAACATTTGCTAAATATTTATAAAAATAATATTTCTAGATTGGTTTAAGTGTTTTGAACGCATCTGCGTCAACAAGTTAGTCATTTTTACATATAAATTAATTGTATACACACAACACAATGGAACGAGGTCCACAAACTATATACACACATATAAACACGTTCCATATAATAATAGGTAAACAATTAACATTTCCATTGTATTATTTGCCACAGCAACGATACCGCATATCAGACAGGTCAGGATGATAAGGCTTTCCATAGTTGAGAGGGATTTCACGCTACTTTTGTTCCACCCAGCAGATACTCCAGTGTAAAGAGCCGTATAATCAGCGCTAAATTGTTTGTGGTCGCATAATCGATCACACCTTCGTTATCATCTGTTGTGTGCCATACACTGGGAAAGGGCATTGGAATTAGGTGAAGAATGGGCACGTTGCGTCGCAGAAACGGTATGTGATCGTCTTCCACCTGGCTGTTCCTTAAGGCTTGAGGCTGAAAGTAGCGTGAAGGATCCCGTCGCGCAACGCCGCTGTTCATATACCGCTCGAACAGATGCTGCTCCGACAGACGCGTCTCCAGATCAGCCATACGCATATACCACTGCTCCGTGTTGGAAAAGAAGCTATAGAAGGCGGGATCTGGTGCGCCCAGCAAATCAAGCAGCACCAGCATATCGATGCGATCCAATTTGCCCTCCTTCTGCCAGAGCTTTGCCAAGTGCCGGGCTCCATATATAGAATCCTTGGGGCCCCATTCTTCGAACGCCTCCTCGCCATCGAAAAACAGCAGCATAAGACTCAGCTTAGAGCTCTGCAGTGGCTTCAGCTGTTCCTGCAGCACCTTCGCCAGGTTCAAGAGCATGGCACAGGGCACAGCCGAGTCGGTGGCGCCCACAAATTCCTCACCACCCGGCATATATTTGCTATCATAGTGACAGGCCAGCACCAAGTAACGCTCGGCGTTCGGATTCAGTGTCGCAATAATGTTGGTAAAATGCAGGGCGCCCAAAATGGGAGCGTTATCGTGAAAACCGTTTAGCTCCACATGCCAGTCCAGATCGCGTAGACTCTGCACAATATACTGACGCACGATTCCGTGATTTGGCGTGCCCACAACTCTAGGTATAAGTATATTTTTAATTGCTTCACGCAGATGTTGTCTGTCCGACAGATTGCTATACTCCAAGAATTGAGCATCGGTCAGCTGGCTGGGATTGTACACGGTCTGAAACAGTTGAGAAACAAATAAAATAAATGCGACTATCAGGCACACAGCCAGGTGTTCGGATTGCCATTGTAGCTGCTACCTTGTTGCGGCCCACCAAATAATCTGATGATGATGTGGCTGTGGTTGACCTCGTGACCAGGGTGGCGATTAAAGCCGTATGCACGCATATGGGCCATAAATACTGTGGCACTCTTTGCAGCTGCAACATATTTACGACTGATACGTGTCTAACGCTGCGTTGTTTGTTTGTGTGTACAGGTGGTTGCAGACGCGGATTTGTTTGTGTCACTGTACTAGATGTGCGTGTGCATATGTTTTGTGTTATTTACAGTCAGTTGTGAAGTGGAGTCGTTCAAATTCATATTAATACTAATGCTTTAGCATTTTTCATAAATAACGTTAACTAAAAGTGCCCAAAAAACGGACGCAAACAAAAACAACATTGGCGTTGCCACATCGCGTTTGCCCAACTAACAGTTGAAGTAGCTATTCATATGAGCAATTGGCAAATTCACCTCGGCTGTTAACAGAACGTATCGTTCATCTCTAGCGGGAATCAGTCGTTTAATTTATCTACAATTTCTAAATGGAATAAACTGTTAGTCAATTTTGAATGTACTAAGGGCAACTAATTTAAATGGCCAAACCAGACTGCTATAAGTATCGTACGGCTTTTAATGTTTCCAATTGACAACTAGAACCGTTACTCACCACATCGCTCAGCTCGAACTTAACGCCTAAATTGTAAATATATTTGGTTTGTTTTGGAAGCAGTTTCTTAATAGCATTGATCCAACCATATTTGTGCACAATATTCTTGCTCCAGCCGTATAAACCACGCATTTCTCTTTAAATATTTATTTTTAATACACCAATTTTGTTACAAATCACTGACAGCAATTGAATGGACAGATCCAAAAAAAGACTTACAACGTGTAGAGCGTGTTTTGTTATCGAAAATTATGCAATTTAATGATTACACGCGACACACGAATACGATTATAGGTCATTTATCACACTCACACTCACCACAGAGTCGCAAATAAGAATGTTATTTTAGATAGTTGTAATTAGTTTACTTAACGCTAATGTTACTAATGCTTATAACAAACGAACGCAGCGAAAACATAAACGTTGTAATTGGAAATGATACATATGTAACAGTCGCAGCCGTGGCCCCCTGCAAGCGGCAACCACGCAGTTAGTCTTCTTTAAACTGGGACGTTTTCGAGCCACCGAAGTAGGCACGATAGATATACACGCCCAGCGCAATGTGCAGTGCGGCCACAGCGCCCACGGCAGATCCAATATTTACTTTCATATCGGACATGGTGAAGAAGCGTTCGAGAAGGAAGCCTTTAAGCGCGAAGAACGTAACAATGGGCAGGAATACTATGAGGGAGCAGTAGAAGAGGACAACCTTGAAAGCGCTGTAGTCCTGCGAGTCCTATAAATTCGAAGGTTACACGATTAAATACTACCGGCAATATGGGAATATTCGTGTTTACATACATGTGCACGCTGTTTGGATAGTTTACTTTGGCTACCGTCATTTCCGCCGACAGTTACCTTCTTGCTTTTGTTGCTCATCTCTGGTAAGTTCTTCGAATATTTCAATTGAGCTAATAAGAATGCTTTTAATATTTGTTGTATTGTTTCTTTGACGTGACAATCACATGATAGACTGGACAATAATAGTCGATTGAACAGCCTGCTGCAATCGAATATTTTTGACTAGGTGGCAATATTTTTAAAAAATATAATCAGATACCGTTCGTGGCGAATATGTATCGTCATGCTTTAAGATAAAAATAATAACCAATTAAATATCGTTAAGAAATTTCTTGCGAAACCAATTGCACGTATATATTGTGAATAAAATATCGGTACACATCCGCTACATTGAATGTGATTTCATCGCAAATGCTTGTATCGATTATTATTATTATTTATCGATAAACATCGCGTATAGTTTTTATTTTTAACAATTGGCGTCAGCGTCTGTTGTTGTTTCATTCGGTGTTAGTGTGCGTGCGTGTGTTCATTTAACTTGTCGTTTTTTCCACAATTTTGCCGATGCTGCTATTTTGAAGTAATTAACTCACTGAAAGCGGCTCGCTGCAGTTGTACAACCGCCGCCGGCAACGCCGCACGTACAGTCGTATAGCGAGCGTCGTTCAATACACAACGTGTTTGGTGTTTCGCTTTTGGTTTCGTGCTTAATTGTGTCTGTGCGTGTGTGTGCTTAATACAATATATTCTTGGTAAATTTCCACTGCGCACCGAACACACCGATAGCATCCGTGATGGTATTGACGAATTTCGAGTGCTGGGCACATGGTGAATCTCCTGCTGTCAACTTCGAAATTGAGCCATCTCCGTCCCGCCATTCACCTGTGGTGGATCCATTCAATGCACGTGTCGTTTCCCACATAGCATCCGCTTCGAATGGCTACTATGGATATGCAATAGTAAACAATGCAGCTGCCGCCTCGGACAACAACAACAACAGTTGCAACAACAACAACGTACAGCCAATGCAAATGCAAGTAGGCGACGTAGGCGTCGCAGCCGACACTACGCATGACGCTGCCGCAGCAGCGCGCTGCAAGAAGCGCTGCTTTACGATGGGCCATGAAAAGTTGGACATGGAGATGGACAACTTGACGGCCGTCAAGCGGTGCCGTTTTGATGATGCCGATCTGGTAGCACAGTATTGCAACGGTAATTATGCGCATACATCAACTTATAAATTAAAACCTTTAATTTAATGTAATTTTTTTTGCGGTTGGCCTTGACTTTTTCACACCGCACAGCAACAAAATGAGCGCTGTTTAATTGCCGCTAGCGGTGGAAAAATTTCGTAAATTGTGTTACAAAATCAGATTTTGAAACTTGTTGGCAACGCTTTTGCGCGAGCCTATATTTGTTTTCTGGGTCATCCTTATCAACATTTGGATTTTTTTCTGTTATCTGAGTGGATTCTTATTTGACAGCAAACACACACAAGATAGTCAACAAGTGCCGCATTTGTAATACTCTTTCCTTATGGAAAGAGTCAATGTTGAGTAACTCGTTCAAAATTATAGCTTATGCAACCAATTAAAAGTTATTAGCGGCACATAAAAAATATTACATATAGCTTGTATTAAATATACAAATATACATATGTATGTAAACACACGCTGCCATACATCACTGCACGTACCCCAAAGCTTGAATTATAGCTCGAAGGAGCAAAGTAGAGCACGCTAATATGTAACATGCACATTTATGGCATGTTTCGTTTGTGGGTGATTTGTTTTTAATGTAAGTTGCTCGAAAATAGTGACCCTTGCACCTCAATAAAAAGGCAATAACCAATGTTAAAAAAAATAGACAATTTGAGATTGCAGCAATATAGAAAAGTTATTTATTTACTCCGCTTCGTATTTCTTTTACATATAGATATATATTTAATGCCAACAAAAAAAAATGTTTGTATTGATATACTTATAAAATGACAATACCGAAAAGTAAGTGTATTAAATCAAACAGCTTTAACCTCAAGCGATAAGATCTGCGCCGATCTGGTGTCTTGCTGCTAGTCTGCCTGCTGCCGGCTTCTATATACACATACATACATGCACATATTGATCCCAGTATAATATATACCTATTCTATGGATGGACCTATTGACTCTACGTAATGAATGAGATCACGCTTATCAGAAATAAACTTAACAGACTTCATTTTACTTTTCTGGCTGTATTCGATTCTCAAATGTATTTTGCACAAACATACATACATATATATTGTTAGTACAGTTGCGTTTACAATTTTACGGGTATTGCCGTCTGACCTCATAGCAAACGAAGTAAATATATATATTGAGTGTGCTCAATCCGAAAATACCCTATAGACTGACATCATTTTACTAACTTTATATATTTTTATTTGGTTTCATTTATAAGTCGCAATAACTCTGAAATCTGAAACAAACTTATGGACACACATTAAAAAATGAAATTTTACTAGCAAATGCGAGAATTAACTCTGTTTTATTTAAATAAATAAAAAGAGTGTCATGTTAATCATGCTAATATTTTAAAAGAGTTAACACTTCTTTCAATAACAAGTGAAATATTTGTACGTATCTGTCTTTTATTTCAATGTACCCCATATTATAGGTTTCAAATACAGGGTATATATAAAATAGTAAATTACAAGTTGTCGCTGCTTGATCGACTCAATAGACAAGTGTTCTATATTTGCTTATAGCATTTTCCTTTATTCCTCATTTATGAGCTATCATTTATTTTAGTTGTTATTTTTTTAATTGTGCAACTCGGTTATCGCAGAAATTTAGCTAAGCAACGTGCTCAATTGGCAATCTCCACATGTTATCGCTGACAACAGCGCAATTATAAACAAAACTTCGTCAGTTCTATGCGGGTTTGGGGGTCGGCGGGATGCACCGATAACCGTTGGCGGCATTGCTGTCGCAGTCGCAGTCGCAGTCGACGTCGCCGTCGCCATCGCTGTCAACGGTGCTTACATTATTTGCCGGCTATTTATAAATGAACGGTAATTGGGACACTATCAGCGCTGGCGTCGACGCCGACTGCACAGTTGGCGTCAGCACATGCTATTGGCATTATGGAGTATACGAAAAACGCAATTCAAAAATAATAAATTAAATTAAATGTTTATTTTCGATAAAACGTTTGTACATTTTGTATATAAATAACAATATATCTACAAAGGAATACTCATATAGGTTTTCATTTTACAGATTTCTTCTCGCTGCCCGCCACACAAATGATTGGCACGCAGGCCTGCCTCATGGACTACGATTATGATGTGCAACAACAGCAGCAGCAGCAGCAGCAGCAACAACAGACGCAGCAGCAGCTGCAGCATCCACGCATTCATCAACATTATCAAGGTCATTTGCATCGCGCTAACCGTGATGTGAGTCGTTGCATGATGTCGCACATGATCTAGAAACATGCATATATATAATCTATATGTGTCTACCTATGTGTTAATATATATATAATGTGTATGCGTTATTTGTATACAGCACACTCAGACTCATACAAACACAAGAACACAACATGCAACAGTTCACCGACACGTCTCTCTGTCTGTCACCCAACAAATTTCCATTTGCCGCCGAATTTGCTTATATTAAAAAATGTACATCCAAAAATTTGAATATTACTCACACACACACGACACGCACACACATACACACACAGCCATAGAAAGCAGTCGGCGTGCCAACATCGCGTATACTTAATGAGAAAAGCAAATAAGCAATAGAAATGAGCCAAAGCAATTGTTAAAAATATCCACATTTAAATGGCAAACGTATCAATTAATCAATCAATAATATATATATATACATATATATAGGTTAATATGTATAGTATATATAACATGTGAATTGTTGTATATCGCCGCATTGTACAAACAAAAAAATTAAGTTGAATCATTTGTATTAGTTCTCGCAACAAAACGGTTCTTGAATATTTAATGTACTTAAAAAGAAACTGAACATTTACTTACACTTAAAGGTTGCAATGAAACTAACACTTAAGTAATCTGTAGTTAAGTCTAATTTAGAATTAAGTTCAATATTTGTCAAAATTGGCGCAAGCTTAACAAGCAAAAAGCGGTCTTTCACAAAGTATTTGCAACAAAATATGTTGGCATTTTGTAACTCAAAGTACAACTACACTGCTACAAAACTTCATGGAGTTTGTAGTTTGTACGCTGAATTAACAGCTGTATAATGCTGTCTTTTCTCCTTAAATTTTATTCTTTATCTTTATTATATACACTTTGTTCCTTATCGTCAAAATTATTTCTTATACACAAGTATCTTGTCTGTTATCTTTGCTGATATCGTGATATCGTGCCCTGTTTGAATTTTGGCAATCACCAAATTGAAGTACACTCATCGATAATTCTAATTCGACAATTTTCTTGTGATTTTAAGTATTTTTCTGAAGCAAAGTGTAATTGTCGTACCATATATCTATTTTTTCCTATATTTTTATATCTCCAAAAAATCTCTTCTATTTTTGCAGTTTATCTAATCCCTTGAAAAAGTTTTATCTTTCCTTCTTTTTCTTAAATTTTTGGTAAAAGTACTTATTTTTTTATTTACTATTTATTTTCCATGGTTTGCATTTTATCCAAGCCAATGAAGAATTCTTCTTTAAGACTGCAAACCCTAATGCTAATATAGAATTTTAAAAAGTTTCCTCTGTTTGGATTTGATTAATCCATTATTAATGGATGTTGTATAACTCGAAACTTCTAAGCCAAATAGTTTAGTTTACCTATCTATTCTCGTTTATATATTGTTGTCACAATGTTCTTTGGTATCACTGCTATATTCAAAATCCTGATTGAATCATTTTTTGATTATTGATTTCATGATTTCTCATGTTTCTCTATTCCTATAAAGAACTCGACATGCTTCCTAATTGTTACTAATTTCGATATAAGTCCACCTCTTTAGACTTTGTCAAATTTTTGGTTAGGAGCATATGATTCTGTTTTTCTTCTTCTGTCCATGAAGTTTCATACATTAGTATGCTACTTCTTCGGAACTTAAATTTTTGTTTCATGATCTTTGAGAATAATTTTGTTTTCTTGATCGACGATAATAACATTCTATTTCAATTGCTATTTTTCAAAGCCTTTAAAAAATCTTTCTATAGACCCATATCGAAGTATTCAATAGAAATTATGATTTTTATTTAATATGTTCTTGCTGAAATAACTGCCCTTTTAATTTTTTCAATTTTCTAATGTTCGTTGACGACATATTTTCTCGATACTTAGGAAAAAGTCACCATCAAAGCTTCGAAACCTTCACGGTATGTAGCCTAATGCTATTTACTTTTCTCTTTCTTTTGATTTCAATCCATTGAGACATGGACAGAAAATAAAGTTTTTCTTATTCTATGAAAAACTCTCCTTACAATCTATTCTATTTATACTGCATTTTTTCTTTTCTTCATTAATTCCATACACAACTTTATAATTGGTCCAGTTTCGATTGAAAAGTCGGATTTAGATCGTAATAAATGAGAAATCTTAACTATTTTTTTATTAGGCTCTTATGTTATGTATTTCGTTAAACCGTTATTATGAAACTAATAACTAACTAATGCTAAAAAAATTTTATTGACTATGAAACGAAATTGTTAAAAAATCGTCCATATACTTTAGATAGGACAGTTTCTGAGATCTTGTAAACTAGTTAATTCAATTAAAAGCTCAATTCTATAAGCGGGAAGCAAAAAATCTGTAATTAGTTTAAATCTTAGCGAAAACTGACATAAGTTCCGTAAATCTAATGAATATTGTTGCATATTATTGCAAAACACTTTGTGAAAGGCTTCAAAAAGTTAAAATTCGAAATTAGGACAAGAAACAGAAACAAAAGAATATCGAAAATATAAAACTGATAGAGAAAAACTCTTTGCTCTCTGCTCGTTTACAGACGGCCCACAACAAGAACAGCAGCAGCGACAACAAAAATTATGCAATACCTTAGAGTCCATAAATGATATACTAGATGCTAAAAGTGAATCCAAATTCACAGATGAGGCAGCCGATTTGTATATAGCCACACATGGCGGTTGTCTTCATCACTTCAAGCCGCTGCCGCTGTGCAGTTGCGTTGATGCGGTCGAAGAGTTTGAAATATAACACTAATTGTCTATATATTATACATTTATATAGAAACTTAACTAACCATAATGCATTGTATAACGTAGCCTAAGTAAATAGTAAGATTTTGAACTTAACACAAAATGGATTTTTATGCGAGTCCCAAAGGGTGCTTAGATTTATTGAATGAAGTATAATAAAAGCTTTAAAACCGATTATTACGAATATTGTGTAAGTGTCAAGCCTGCGTGTTTCTTGTTCATATCCAAGTTTCCAGTGTGATTATGTATATTTAAGTATATACATGTGCGTATGTGAGCACAGACCAGGCTAAATTGCTGTGCTGCAATTTAAAAGAAAAACGTATTTTTATATAAAGCCTTACTCTGCGATTCTCATGAATCGAAGTAAGCCTCGAATAAATGTTGTTTTCTACGAAAAGTTTTTCTGCTGTGCAGCAAATTTAAAACTTAGATTAAACCAAAGTATCTAAGAAAATTTTGAAATGAATACGTTCAAATGATTGTTGGTTCATGATGTATATTTTCCCATAGGGTAGATAAGAATTGAACAAATTGTACATAAAAATGCTTTTAAATGCCATTTGAATCTCATTCGATTGTGTGGAATACTATTTAGTTGCAGTTTCCCAGCTGCTGTGTGCGCATCTTAGATCTTGATCGTTTGACGTTCTCCGTTCTCCACGTTGATATAGTTCTCCTGCACATCCTTGACCATGAAATCGACCAGATTGTTCAAATCATATTTGTGCTTCCAGTGCCAGTCACGTCGCGCATCCGAATCATCGAACACCTGCGGCCAAGAATCAGCTATCAGCTGTCGACTATCCGGCTTGTAAGTCACATGCAAATGGGGCACATGCTTGCTCAGCTTATCGACGAGCTCCTCGGGCGTAAAGGACATGGCTGTCACATTGTAGACACGTCGCTTAAGCTGCTCGTTGGGTGCGCGCATAAACTCCAGGAGAGCTCTGTAAGTAAATTTATTATTATTTCAGATAAAATCTGGTGCTAGTATTAGTTAACCTACCGCAAGCAATCCTCAATGTACATCATGGGCAGGCGTGTGTCGGGTTTCAGGTAGCACGTGTATTTGCCATGACGCAGTGCCTCATGAAAGACGGCAACCGCATAGTCTGAAAAAAATTACATTGAGGTTATAAGCACTTTAAGTGAGGTTAGGTTGCTTTTTAAGAGCATGATGGTATTTGATAACAAGGATAAAAGCAGTAATAATTCCAGTTTTGGTTGTACTCCTCCTCCAAATCGCAATTGAATGCTGCCTAATATCGATTATATATTTATAATTTATATAGAATTTAGTTAAAGATCTAGTTTACCGGGCAACGTAGCAGAAAACTAGTTTCTGAATACGAGAAAATTATTCAATCAATGGGCTTGAATTGTGAATAATTGTCTCGAAGCAATTTTTATTGTATCTTTCATATAATATGCACAATGTCATGCTATTGGTTACTTTAAACTAAGAAGATTGGCATTAATACGATAATAACAGATGACACAGTTAAGTTGGCGAAAGTATTTGCCAGATACATTATGATGCTCATTTTATGAGTTACTTTTCTACTTACCCGTCGTGCCGCCGCCTGGCGGATCGCTGGAAATGACGCCCGGGAAACGCAGACATCTAAAATCCAGCCCGAATTTGTGATAATAATATTCACCAATTAACTCGGCGTGCACCTTCGAAACGCCGTAGATGGTGCGCGGTCTTTGTATCTACACACGGGAACGAGACCTGATTTAAATATCGAACAAACTGCAATAGCAGCAGAGTTATGTTTACCGTTACGTTCGGTGTGGGATTACGGGGACTATCGGGCCCAAAGGCGCCAATAGTGCTGGGCACGAAGATGCGCAGCTTATACTGTTTGGCCAGCTCAATAACATTGTGCACGCCCTCAATGTTGACCCTAAGAAATGGGTTTAACAATTTCAATTGATTAAGATAATCCTTGGATTTGGTTTTACCTCACAGCCAGGGGCACATTTTGTTCACCGACAGCACTGAGCAGCGCCGAGAAGTGTATCAGCCAATCGATGCGATGATTAACGACAATCTTCTGCAGACCCTTAAAGTCCAGAATATCGGCGAATATGTAGGGCCCGTTCTCCAGCACCGCCTGGCTGGGCTTGATAATATCCGAGAGTATGACGCTCTCGCTGCCGTACTGGGAGCGCAACAACTTGGCGCACTCAATGCCCAGCTGGCCGAGACCACCTGCCAAAGGAGCAGCATTAGAGATGAACATACATCAATGAGAATTTGGCTGACAACTGTGGGCCTTGGGTTCTATTTATATGAACCGCGCACGTGTTGGCTAACAACTGACCCGTGATTAGAATTTTTGGCGGTCTGGTGGCGGGCGCCTGATTGGGATGATGATGCATCAGCCGCAGCATTGGCTGCACCTGGCGCTGACTGGCCACCAGGCTGCTCAGGCACTTGCGCCACATGGTTGCGAAGGATTTGGGAATATTTTAGGCTGGAGCTAGTATTCCTAGACGCGCCGCGTCTCAACGAGTTACAATTTTCAACTGATTTCGAAATTTAGCAAATCATTTTCACGAGCATCGAAAATATTCACTATATACTCTCGTATTCGCGCATATATCGTATGAGCATTCGGATTTCCATTCGTTAGTTGTCGACAGTTGGCAAACACTCAATTTTGCATTTATTTTTTGATTCATTATGAGACGTTATATAGTTGTTGCTGTCGTTGTCACCATGGCAAAAGATTTGCTCGGGCTCGCCATATATAATTCAATAAAAGCGAAAGCAGCGGCTGTGCTGAGAGGAGGCCCGGCAATTGACAACAACAACAAATAACAACAACAATATCAAAGAAATAGTTTAGCTGGGCGGGTTTCCTTTTGGGGGGCATGTCCGCTCCGTATATGTGTGTCGGTTAAGCACAAATACATGGAAACAAACTTATACAGGGTGTTCTGTATGAAAGTTGCGAGCAGCTAGGTCGACTTTTCGGCAGAGTTCACCAGGTTAAGTGAGATAAATTGAAAAAATTAAGTGTTTCTTTAAGTACTATAGATATAGATAGCATTTTAGGCATGTTTAGACTCCTCATAATTCGACTAGACAGGGTGTCTATAAGAAATAGCCAGAAATTTGATGATAATATTTGGCCCCCATTTTCATGCTACGCTCGTGTGTATTCTTTTCAGAATTTACATCCACCTACTCTTGAAACTGCTCTGCAAAGCTTTTGTACACTCCCGAACGCATTGAGACGAAATTGAATTAACCTTGATAGCTAAAATAAATAAAAGCGTGCGATTTTCAAGGGTATACAGTATGATTTAATTTAATTAAACGTCAGGGCAAGGGCCTGTAAATGAAAGCCAGGCAATTTGAAAAACGTGTGTTATGTATTCTGATAATGCATTGAACTTGCACTAATTTTACACAACGGAATGCAAATGATTTTTCTTAAGGGTTATCAGCATAATCGTGCAGGGTGCATCTAAGACTTGGAGCAATAGAATGAAAATGGTCTTATGCCCGTTCTGTAGCCTCGACAATATTGACGTAGATGTTATTTGCACTTTGAGAATTCAAGTGAATACGCAAATATTATGTACAGACTAAAAATACATGGGCTCATATATTTTAAGACCTGCAACTAACAGAAAAAACAGCTGGGAAATATTATAACATTTATATATAGTATATTGCTTTTCTTGTACTCTTACTCAATGGACGAGCAACAAGGCACGACAGTTTTTCGATGATATCCACATATTAGGGAAGTGTTATATGGTCTTTAGTCCCTGTACCCATGCTCCGCCCCAGACCCAAGCTCAGCCAAGCGTTGCCCAAGACTGGAGACGGCGCCGTTAAATCTTTATGTAACTAACAAAAAAGAGACAATCATAATATGATGACGTTAAAAACAACAATAACAAACATATATATATATATATGCGAAGCATGCGGCTTATGAGGCCTTTAATTTAATTTAGCAAAAGTGAGCCGAGCAGAAAGAGCTCTCGAGATATCGTGAGATATCGGGCAAGGAAATGACAACGGTTAGAAATGAAAGTGAAATGCGAAACGTTAACGTTAAGCCCATGACAACGAATAGTTAATACAGTTTATTAAGTAAAAAATATGGTAGAAAAACCGAAGATTTAGCTTTAAAAAATTATGAAATTAATTATATATTTTGGTATATCTATAACTTTAAGCTGAAACCTATTAAAAGATTCCAAAACGATTGATAAGAAGTTTCAATATGTTGAAAAATTTTTTTAACAAGTGTATTTAAAAAAATTTGATTAAGGACTGAATGATAAAAAGTATTTCAAAGATTTAATACAAAATAAAATATTTTTATGTTTTTTTTTCGATTTATCAACCGAATAATAAATATATTTTTGTGGCAAAAAAGCTTTAATGGCAATTGAAAGAGCCGAGTTTATAACGATACTTAGTAATTATTATAATAATATATTAATTATGTCTACTTTAGTAGCATAATAGCAAAACTTGAGAGAGAGTTAAGTCATAATAATTGGCAATCAAAATGTAGCTAATTTTGGCAGTCTTGCAGCAGTATTTACATTTATATCATTCAATTATAAGCTTCTCTCCAAGTCAACTCCTTGTTTGGCCTTCGCTTCTGAACAAGCAATTTCCTCACATAATTCGTTAATTTCACTTGCAATTTCAATATAAACTCAGCATAAACAACCTCGCCCGACAGCAACATGACCAGGCCGCGGTCCAAACGCCAGCGACGACCCCTGAAGCCTGGTCACAGTTCAGCTACCAACTCGAGTCCACAAAATGTGTTCCACAAGTGCTCTGAGCCAAGTTAGTAGCCAAGTTGTTTGGTGAGTGAGATGCAGCCAAGTGTGGCGCCAAATACACTCCAATATTGCACAGGCAGGAAGCATTCGCTTCTTGGCGCTACTCCCCCGCATTCCACAAAATGTTGAACGCTCAAAACGTTTGTAGAAATCTTGAGTAATCCGTTGGCTCCACATAACGTTTTGAAAACAGTTTTAACGCGCATTCCAATCGAGACGGTTCGGCAAGACGGCTCCCGAAACGTACAGCCAACGTTTTGGTGCGTTTTTAATTAAATTACAGAAAATTTATAACAAAAGCAAAAGTGCGCTTGAAAGTGAAGTGAAAAGAAATAAAAAAAAAAACTAAAAGAAAAGAAATAAATGCTTATGAAAACCTATTTAATTACATAGGCGAATGCAAAGTTTTATTAAGTTCAAAATATATAAAATTCAAACAAATCAAACTTAAACTCGCACGGATATATTGGATAATATATATTGGAGTAAGCTTGGCGCAAAATATTTGGAAGATCATTAGCAGACATCCTGAATTAGTTGCTATCTAACGCTAGATGGCGCGGTGCGCTTGCCCTTAAATTGTTATTGCCTGCAGCGTAGTTGTATTTATTGCCCAGAGAGGTCGCTTTACCTGTCCCATATTGACTTACAAACAAATGAGAACAACATATTTATAATCTCACTGCGCAGATCTTAAGCTTTGTTTCTGCACTGAAATATGAAATACAGTTTTAATGTACAGGCAAAACCAAAGAACTATACAGTTATTTAATTAGGAGAGACTCAAAAGAAATCAGAGCAAAGTAAGAAACTCCATAAAAAAAGTGGAGAAACTGTCGCCAGAGAAGCCTCCAGTGGAGCCACAGACAAGACCTTCAAGTCACACTTAGTTGCGGCAGGCATAGATCCATAGTACAGCTCCGAGGTGTACGAAGTAAACCAGCTCTTAGATCTGAACAGCAGCTGGAAGCCAAAGAAATTACAGACAATGATGAAAACGACAATAATTTCAAGGTTCGTTTGATGTAAACTCGGCGCGCATGCGTTTAGAGAGTGCATAGAGGAGGGGCAACAGCAGCAGCAGCAGCGGCAGCAGCTCTTCAGACCGTTTCACTACCCAACTATAGCCCCTACTTCTATTTTTCTATTTTTTGTTGTTAAATGATTACAAAATTTTGTTGAAAAGCCATGTTACGCTTCTCGGCGCAAAAAGTTTCTTTTTTTTTTTGGTCGAAGTTGCGCAGCTGCATATGGAGACTACGGCTATACATGGGTATATCTGGATTGTAGATAGGCATGTTGAGAGCTTTATTTTATGAAGTCTCTGTGGGTATTGCACAAGACATAGTAACACTTCCTGTGATGCGACTGGGCATCATCTAAACTATAGAGCATTAAAAGTCTACTGGACGAAAGGGTCAGGTAGGGTTTCTCAAAGGTGGGTTGTTTGTATCACATTCATTGAGAGAGCTTTATTGAGTTAATCGCGATATTATAAGTACCCGTGTTTTTCTAATATTGTTGCTGACTAATTCGATAAGAAATATTTGTATATTATTCAAATGCAAGAGCTGATATAGACTTAAAGAACTGTCTGGCAAAGCACTGATAACATACTATTATCAATTCAAATGTGATTTAAATCAAAAATGCACTTTCAATCTTATCAAATAAGCTCTCCAGTAAATTTAGCAATAAAATAGCTTGGGAAGTTTTCAGATTTTAATGTCTGACCTAACAGATCAATTAGAGGTCAATCGCTTAACGACCTTCATAGCTGTTGATTCGCTCAACAATCAAATCATTGACCAGCTCCTTCATGTTTTTGGCCACAATAAAGTCCAAATGATTGAAGCTCGACCAGGGCACGCGATGATCTTCGGTCAGATGTACGAACTGGGAGACCAATGTGTCAACATCCTTTGGACCACACAGGGCATCATTTTCGCTGGAATACGAGTGTGTATTGGCGGTTATTTTGCTCAAATCATAGTCTGGCGGCAAATCCTGGCCATAGAGCTCACGATTCTTCTTGCTGCCCCAGTCGTACTGACGGAACTCGTGCGAGGCGTACAGCTGCAGATAATGGATGCCCTGGTTGCTGGAGGAGCCAGCCGGATGCGTTTCAATCAAGATTTGCATGGATGTCTAAGTATTGAGAGAGAAGTGTCTTAAGTTAGAAAGAGCACCAAATCAAAGGTCAGCTCGGCGCTTGAACCGTTTGTGAATTATAAACACGAAACTCACCAGATTAATATTCTCATAGCCGCCGTTGGCGAACATCAGGAATCCATTCTTGCAGATTGAGTCGTAGGGACTGCCGCTTCCGCAGCCGTTGTCGGCGAGACGATTGACAATATTATTGTACGGTATCAGTTCTGTGTCCACCAGCAGCTGGTTCCAAACACCGCCAGGTGTGCCCACCAATGGGCCCAACCATCTGAAGATGGCCGATCGGCCATGTTCAAAGAATGCGCACGGTGCCAGCAAATGACCCGACTTGATCTTCTCATTGTACTCCGGACGCTCGGACATCAGCACCAGATAAACTGTCGTGCCCTGCGAGTGTCCCGCATAGTGCAGCTGCTTGTATTGTGTCTCATCCAGAATGTAATCGATCATGGCAGCGATATCGATGGTGCCAATCTCATGCCAATCGAAATGCCAGAACTTGGGGCTGTTC